CCATCTCGCCTGGCCTCCTTCAGCGGCCAGAGCTCCTGTAGCTGGGTGCTGAGCTGCCTCTCTCCCTTCCCCTCCAGGACTCCTGCAGGTGGTGAAGCAGTGCGTGCGAGTCCCCGTGTTCGTGATGATCCGACCTCGTGGGGGAGATTTCCTCTATTCGGACCGTGAGGTGGAGGTGATGAAAGCCGATATCTGCCTTGCCAAGCTGCACGGTGCCGATGGGCTGGTGTTCGGCGCCCTCACTGAGGATGGGCGCATTGATACAGAGCTCTGCACAGCGTTGCTGGGTAAGAGTGTCTCCGGTCAGAAGCACTGTGCTGAGCTCTGTGTGATATCTGTGTTGTGACTGCGGGTGTGAGTTCAGTGCTGCTCTGTCTGATGGTGTAGAAAGAACTGCGGGGTGCTTTGGTCTGCAGGTCTTGTCTGTGGCCTCGCTATCTCTAGCTACAACATGTTCAGTAAGTAAGACGCTTTAGAGACCAAGGGCTGCTGCCCTAAGCAGCGCACACAGAGTTTGAGGCCTCCTGGGACATAATAGAAGGATCTAAGAAGGAGCAAGGCGTAGGCGAGCTGCTTTTTGGGCACCAGAGTATTAAACTGTTGGATTCTCTCCTTTCTCCATTTTCTTTGCCCGCTATTCTTTTCCTTACTTTGCTGCTACAGGTGTCTAGGATATGTCTCTCCTGGACTTTGACTTTGTGAGTAGCTGGCAACTCGTCTTTATTTTTTTTATGTGACACATCCAATGAGAAAAGATAATGAGAGATGTGGAAACATATAAAAGGCTACCGAAGCTGCAGTGGGAAGTTGTTAGTCCAGGCCCCTAACATGTAGAGAGAAAGAGAATTGCTTTCATGTCTTTTCCCTGAGCTACAGCCAAAGCTAAAGAGAGCTGAGCCTTTCCCTGGTGATGTGGTGCTGAGGTTCTCATGTGAAGGTGAATGTGCTGTAGGGAGTGCGGCTAAAGAGAGAGGTCTTGCCAGGATTTACCTCCACTAGAGCAACGAGTTGCTCTGCTGGAACCAGTGTTTCCAGGGCAGGAGGCAGTTGGATTTATTTTCGTAGAAATAAATGAGCTTTGCCCAGTAAATAGAGCACCACTGGTGAAGATTGCTGTGGTCTGAGATAGAGCAAGTAGTGAAAGAAATCACAAAAATCAGCTCTCCTGCTTTCAAAGAGCGCTGGTGCTGTCCCTTCCCCAGGTAGATCAGACAAGTTCCCTGCTTCCTTCCTGCAGAGAAACACATCTCTAGTGGGAATGAGGGTTCTGCATGATCCAGATGAGATGGGGGATTTTGGTGTTACTGATAAAAACAAAGGTTTGTTGCCTCCTCAAAGGGCAGAAGAGCTCTTCTTCACCAAACAGCCTGGCCAAAGAGCAGCAGCTGCGTTGTTCCCAGCAGTACTGGGACTCTTCTGAGCTCCCCAGGAATGGACTGAGAAGCCTCTGCCCACTTTCATCTCATGGTTTTCTGGTTCTAGCACAAGGAACTCTCTGTGCCAGCCCTGACTGACCATGTGTCTTCTTATTGCAGCGGTGTGCCGTCCTCTGCCAGTCACATTTCACCGAGGTGAGTGGTCTGGGACAATGGCCCTGGCAGGGACCCTGCTGCCAGGGGAGGGTGGGGCTGGGAGGGAGCTGAGCTTGGTGTACTTTGGTTGTTCTTTGGAGAGGGGAAAGCTCTGCATGCTGTGCAAGAGCAGGCTGTGGCTGTGCTGTTCCCCTAGGAGGGGAAAGGCCTAGGGGGTCCAAGCTTGGAGGCTGTGTCACTGCCCTGTGTGGGGAGGAGGTGTCTGAGGAGCTGAGCACAGTGGCTCTGCCACTGCTGCGAGGGAGGCGTTATAGTCAGGAGCTGTGGCTCCCCGCAGGAGTGACCAGCTGTGAGAAGGGCCCTTCCCGTTGTTGTCTCTTGGGCTCCTGAGCTGGCTGGGAGACAGGGCTCGAGCACAATGAGCTGGGTGATTTCTGAGCAGTTCTGTTGATCTCTTAGCCTTTGACATGGTGCACGACCCTCTGGTGGCATTGGAGACCCTGATTTCTCTGGGGTTTGAGCGGGTGTTGACGAGCGGCTGTGACAGCTCAGCGCTGGAAGGATTGTCCTTAATTAAGAGGCTTGCGGAGCAGGTAGGTGTCCCCTGTGGTCTCCTGGGTTACTGTGGCTGCTTCCTGGACATTGTCCAGAGGCAACTCCTTTATGGTAGCCCTCATTTCTGTAGGGGAACTTCTCTCCAGGAGCGCTTGCCTTTCTTGTGTGGCTTGGCCTTAATCTGTTGTCCTAAGTCCACATGGGCTGGACCCCAAAGTCTCCCACAGCAAAAACTGGTTGGGTTGTTCTTGCTCACAGCCTGGGAGGAGGGTGGTGAGAGTTTGTTTCAGCAGTTCGTGTGATTAGCCCACGTAAGCAGCACAGTGAGGTCCCTGCTGGGATCTCACTGTTTCTGTTAGGAAAATGCAACAGATGTACCTCAGAGGTAGCCAGGTGAGATAGAGAGGTAGGAGTAAACGGTGACAAGTTGTTTTAGCTGTAACTGCAAAGTCTTTTCCGCTTCTCCTTGTAAAACGTGAATAGTACAAAAAAGACGGGTGAGAGTACACAAATGGTAAGCCATGGTGACAGCCATGAGCTTACTGAAGGTGCTGCCTGAAAAAGTTCTTTGCTGCCCCACAAATGCATGTGCGGATGTAGTGCTGAGCAGTATCACTCACACATTATTCTTCTTTCAGGCAAAGGGCAGAATTGTGGTGGTGCCAGGTAATGGTTTTTTTGTCATCTATCATGGTCCCGTAGTCTCTAGCCCCTGCTTCCTACCTTCTTGCCCTGGGGTGTGCTGTCTGATCTGGCTTTTTAAGCCAGGTCTGCAGGAGGAGGAGCTCTTGCCCTGGTCCAAGTAAAAGCCAGGCAGCCAGCTGGGGATGGCAGAGCCCTGCAGCTGCTGCTCACTGGAGCATTTGCGGACAGCTCTGGATCTGTGGGAGAAGATGAGCCAAGGCTTCTCCTGTCTCTCTCATGTGCCCAGATCTCTGTTGTCCCGTGGGCTGTCTTTTACCCTCTGTATGGATGATGCTTGTCTCCTGGGGGGCAGGTTCTGGGGTGATGCCGGGTCTGGGACAGTGCCTTATGTGCTGTATGTGACATCGGGATTCTTCCCACCAGGGGGTGGCATCACAGAGCGCAACCTGCAGAGGATTCTGGAAGGCTCTGCTGCTTCTGAGTTTCACTGCTCTGCTCGCTCAGCCCGGGACTCAGGAATGAAGTTCAGGTAACTGATCATTTGTTTTATTTTATTTTATTTTTATTTTTTTATTTTTTAGCAAAACTGTACAAGGAAAAGCTGGATTAATGCAAACATTAATTTGTAGAAGAGGCATAAATTTCAAACAGCTTTCTGGATGCTAATTGTGCTTTCATGATTGGGTTCATGATGCCTGGCTCTGTATTCTGCGGTGTACAAATTCAGCAGTGCCCATCATCTGGACACGAGCTCCATGTGTAACCGAATCCTTGGGCCATTTCTCTGCTACTGCTGCCCTAGGCCTTGTGAGGACACTTATGTGGCAGTTAGGAAGGCAGGTAGGTTCTGGTGTAGTTGCCTTAGATTTTTACTGCTGGAATGTGTAGGATTTGGGAGGCCAATGGGATGTACCTCTGAGGAATGAGCGAGGAATGGCTTATGCTTGTCCACAGGTCTGCATTGAGTTTCTGTCAATGCTGTTGTTTCTTGCATTTGGATTATTCTTTCTGTTACTGTCTCATCTTTGGTCTGGGTGGCACCATCAGGTTCTCTGGCCACTGCTGAGACTAGGGGAGACAGTGGGTTTTCCTTAGTGTGTCTTACTCATCTGTATTTTTCCTGACAGAAATCCGAATGTTGCCATGGGAGCGTCCTTCTCTGCCCCTGAATACTCCATAAAGGTGGCAGATGTGGCCAAAGTGAGGACCTTGAATGCCATTGCAAAGAACATTCTGTAGTGGAAGGCACCAGGCTGGGACAAGAGCGCTGAGACTCCAGAGTCTTCCCTGCCACATGGACAGATGGGTACTGCTTCTGTCCTCAGGCTGCAGAGGATGTGAACTAGGTGGTGAAGCCTTGACATCTCTTCCCTTGGCTTCCCCTGAATGACCAGTCCCTGGCCTGGAAACTTATGTTGGCCATTTTAAATAAAAGGACTCATTCCCAGATGTTGCAGCAACAAGCTGTTCGTCAGTATTTGGGAGAAAGAGAGCTGACAAGTAGGGGGATTGAATTGTGTAGCACTGCATG